GAGCGCTGCGCAAACTGTTGGCGCTATATAAATCCTGTATAATAATAATAAGAATAATATGTACCAGCATGAAAAAGCTTTTTAATGTGATAATAGAAAACACATCAAGCCACAAAGGGATACACTATAACCTACGTTCATCCTATCTAGTGTCTGATATGTCATGACAACATGTATGCATGCCCTTTGCTGCCAGTGTCTACATCTTACTTAGAGTTGCCCTGTATGTATATATCTATTAGTGTAATGAGTGGTGACAGTGTAGCAAACAGCATTCACATCCCGGTCCGTGTGCGTCCACTAAAGGTCAAGGCCAAGGAGTTCCATGTATTACAATCACGCATGTCATCCCATAGTGCATACAGTAAGCATAACGTTTCATTAAAATGACCCCCACGTTTAGAAGCCCGGCAGCGCTATATGTTATGCATTGTAGCACCAAACTCGCAGCCACCTCCTTTTTTTTTTTCTTTCTTTTTTTTTTTTTTTAGGAAATTAAAACCCATAAATTCTGTTTAGTGTTGGCTATGCATGGCTGTCGCGGAGAGCTATAATGCCCCCTAAAACCTTGGGTTGCTTTTCACCTTTCATAAATTCCTGGGGAGATTCTATACAAAAAATAATTTTCAGCTCCGTGGCTCATTGTTATTCAAAGTTGATTGATCGTCGTCATTTACCCAGCGAAGAAGTTAAGTGCTCCTGTCATTTCGAAGAGTATAATTGGGACGTTTCACAGGTCACTGATAGTGGCAGGGTTTCCCTTTTGATTAGTGTTAGACTGATAACAAAAATTACAGTTTCCAGTGATGGATGGGGCCCATAGTGTCTAAACGCAGCGCTCGAGCATTGTACCTAAACAAAATGAATTTGCATCTGATTATGTGCTTAAAGAGTATAAGCTGGAAACCCGTGCTGCTTATTATTGAAGAGAGAGGGATACCAGAGAGAGGGATGTTGTCGTTATCAATACAAAGCTTTTCTTTTGGTATCTAAGTTTCCTTTAATTCATGACATATTTCTTTTTTTAAAGAGCACCTGTGCTGTTTTAATCAACATAAAGATATGGAGTAGGGGAGGTAGACCTGTAATTGGTGTTCCATTCATAACAGGTTTAGTGTATTCTGACGGTGGCAGTTTAATGCCTACTCTAGTCTTGTATGGCTCCATCCTCTTTGACTGGCCCCATGTACGGGGTAAGGTACTGGAAAACATAGATGTGATAAATTACTGAAATGGCTAAATACACAACTGAAGTACCTGCATGGGAGCAGTTTTACCTGCATACGTAGTTTTATTGATGATAATATTTTTTTATTATTTATTATTATTACCTGCATGGGAGCAATTTTACCGCATAGGTATTTTTATTATTATTACTTGTATGGGAGCCGTTTTACCTGCCTAGGTATTTTTAGTGGTAATTTTTGTATTATTATGAATACTATAATAATATTATTATTGTTATTATTATTTTATATAGTGCCAACAGTTTGCACAGCGCTTTACAAAATAGAGGGAGACAGTGCAGTTTCAATACAATAACATACAAGAGGATCTTAAAGGTTCTGCTCCTCAGAGCTTGCAATGTAAAAGGATTTTTTTTTTCCACTCCTGAGATTTACACATCCCTTTCAGACTACTGACCTGATCTTTCTCCACTGCAGCTAAGCAGTACAGATAGGTCAGCACCCTGCCCCTAACCTTTGATTGGACAATGAAGAAGAGGCAGTACACTGATGAGGTCATCCTTCTCTCCCCTCTTCTCCTCTCCTCTCCTGTGTAGCAGATTGTAAGTAGTTAAGGGCACTGCCTAACCCTCTCCCAGTCTTGTGCTGCTGTGCTAAGAAGCAAATAGCAAGACAGATTCTGGTACTTTTACTAGTGTTTAAAAATATGGCTTTTGGATAAATACTTAACTGCAGTAAAAGGTTTGTGTGTTTTATTTGTTGTTGTTTTTTTTATTTTCTTCCTCGAGTTCAACTTGAACCCTTATGCTGCAACATGCATGGCCAATATGTAGGCACATCAAACAAAGTTTTTGATTGCCAATTTCCACTGACTGAGTGATCAAAATAAAAGTGAAAATTGGTCAAAACCAACACCGTGGCAGTTCTAGATGAATTTCTTTGCTGGTTTTGGTGATTGGAAACTGGGGGAATGATTGCCGGTGTATGGTCCATTGTTTCATATGTATGTTTAGTCAGCCTACTGCAGGCAGTCTGTAAAGGTAAGAGCCCATGAAAGGAAATTATATCATTGAAGCAAATAAACTAAAGAAAAATATAAAAGACAGCCTTATGCCAAAGTTTTTAACAGGGGAACATAGGCTATTAGGAAACTTTGCATAGGCCAAATCAGTTTAATCCATCCACAGCAAGTCCTCCTGTGTTAGTGTTTTAAAACCCCAGTGAAAACATTTCTTCCCTCAAAAACGATGGATGGATATTGATAGATAGATAGATAGATAGATAGATAGATAGATAGATAGATAGGAGATTTCAGCAAAGGCATCCTCTATCTATTTAAAATACTAATTGCTGAGCTGTCATGCTGATCTCAACGCTCCAATAATTGAAGTCAATGACATGGAACATATTAGGTTTTCTGACGTTGCTCTGACTTCCCCTGCTGAATACTTGCAGAATGTATTGATGCCACAGAAAGCCAGGCAACTAGCAATTTCAGGAGGTGGTAAATTGCAGCTTTTGTATTTCTCGCAGTACCAGTTTCCTATCGTTTCTTTTTTATATCTAAGTTTGATCCTTGTTAGTGATGTGCAAAGTTCAGTGCACAGGAGCTTTGCTGAACACATGACAATTCATGAATCCCGAACATAGAGCCTAATCCCCATTGAAGTCTATGAGAGCTGAATCTTGTAACTTCCTGTCCCACTGTGTCTGCATGCGGGTGCACGCGTCCATAGACTTACCTTGTGTCTCTCCTTGCGTCCCGGCTGAAAATGTGAACTGCGCATGGCCCGCCCCAAGATGCTTTGCGGCCGCCCGAGAAATGTAACATTTTTTGCATATATCTACTGCTCGCTAGCAGTAGATATATGCAAAAAAAAAACGGAGGGTTTCATAACCCTTTAATGTCTTTTATTAAAAGAAAAAAGAACTATGTCCCAGGATGTAAATCCAATATCACTCACATCTTCTGGTGTTGTGGATCCATTGGTTTCAGTGTTTTAGGTGTCAAGCATGTAACAAGTGAAGTCGGAACTCCTGATCTTTGACTCAGAATATAACGTTTATGGCTGTTGCCTTACAAACCGCAACCATATTGGGGGTTGCCCCCAAAGTTTTTGCAAAACAAAACGCCCAAATGTTCTTTTCCACATATGTGACTTTAAGAAGGTGTCAACAAGAATATTTATCTGGCTGTTTTTGCTGTGCAGCAAGACTTAGGAATATATAATATATATAATAATAAATGAGATTAGAATTTTTATTAGATGCTTAGCCTGTCACAACTTTTATCTCTTTAATAATTTCAACTGTCAGGCCGAAATGAAAAAATTTATTTTTTTTTGCCAGTGGACAAGCAACGTCTTGCAGTTTTAATTTGGATAACATAAGTCTATTTTTGCCCTATTTTTTTCTATGCTTGTTCCACATTGATGATACTGTTGATGCAGATGGTTGTATGGTACAGTGCCACTGCACCCCGGCAAAACAAACATTTTTATTTTAATATTCTTGGCCTGCTTCACTTCCGGATTGGTTCATGATGACATCATCATCATGAACCAATCCGGAAGTGAAGCAGGCCAAGAATATTAAAATAAAAATGTTTGTTTTGCCGGGGTGCTGCCATTTCCCCCAAAAACCCCAAAAAATCAGTTTTTGACATTTGGTTAACATAAAATAAAAAATTAATCGTTAAATTATTTTCCGTTAAAATGATACAGTAATGGGTCTTGCGTTTGAATTAAATTCTGCCTTTGCCAAGTCATCTACAGTGGAGGTCATGATCCATTTTATTGCTATGTGGAATGCTTTGTGCAGTATAAAAGCAGCACGAAGTCTGAACAGTGAAGTCTCTGTATCTCGCCATTACAGATAATTACCTTTTTAGTGAACTTCTGCATGTCAAGAGTTCTTTATTTGCTGGTGGATTTTCCTTCCAAAGTGAATCAGCGCAGGTTGCTCTCAGAATACCCAAACAGGGTTGGCAGCTTATTGGCTACCGGCTCTGTTCGTTCAAAAATTTTCCGACCGGCTCCTTCAAACAGCTGATCGAGGGATGGCGGCTGAAAGGGTGCTAACAGCGGCACCCACTTTGTGAATTTCCTTAAGAACCGGTCGAAATTCGAATAGTGTATGACCAGCCTAACTCTCTTAGGCCAAACTGGGATTTGCAGTAACTTGTGCTGATTTGCAGGCAGGTAATGTTTACAGCAGACTTACAATCCTTCCGCTGACCTGGTGAAGGGTTTCTTTTTGGAGTCTACTTTTTCCCTTGTTTTCACATGCTAAAGGCCAAAGAAAGGTTTTCATGTTATTGTGCACCCATAAGGCTATGTTCCTTGGCTTTATTATAATACATGATCCCCATTGGAGGGTAGGCAGGGGACTCTGTAAGGACTTTTTTCCCCGGTTTATTTCTATCCATCAGTCTATGGTGAGAAATCTGGGAAGCAGATTGCAGGCTTGGAGCAAATCCATGAAACCTTGCTCCGCCACCGATCATTTAGCTGTCCTTGTAGCCTCCTCTGTCATCAAATCACTATATGTGGCACAGGACTCAAGCAAGTCAAAGTACCTTATGGTTCCTGTTCCTGCCTCGGAACTACTTTGCTATAACATATTATGGAGGAGTCACGGCACATGGTTCCTAGTTTTTGAAAAAGTTTCTACGTATATATGGGTATGTTGGCACTATGGAGACACCATACACAGTAGTTTTTGGGGTTTTTCTTAGGGTTATGTTTGTGGTCAATTTAGATGCATATGGAAGAGTTTGTCCTTTGACGTTCCACTTGTGTCTTATTATTTAAGGTACAAGCCAGTGACGACGAGGAGGAAGATGATTTTGTGGAGGTCCCGGAGAAGGAAGGTTACGAACCTCACATTCCAGACCACCTTCGCGCAGAGTACGGTGAGTTTGCCCAGCTGCGAGAAGCTTTATCCCAGCATGTTACTGCAGCAGTAAAGTAAATAAACAGCCATTATGAAGTAATAAAAGGATCACTAGTGTGCGTAATCTCTCAGACTGCTGCAAGGAAGTCATTACAGAGATAGGAAAGGCGCGATTGGCCGCAGATAAACAAATACTTTGTAGGGGAAGAGGCAGCCGAGACTGCGGGCTTATTTCATTCAGTCATGTAGCCGTGTAGTTTAAAGCCTGCCGCTGTTATGTGCACTACAAAGGAATATTTATAAAAGGATATTTATTTCCCGGGGAAGAAAAATATACCGCTTCACACGCCTCTCTTGTAAATGGCTTTTCCTGGCGCGCTCGAATTACAGTAAATCTGTTTAATTAAATCCCATTATAAGGAGTGATATGACACCTCCTGGCATTGTACAATTATACTCTCTCGAAGGTTTCTCCGGGGTATATAAAACTGAGCCATGCGAGGAGCCGCGCCACGCTCTTTATAAAGGCACGCACATTAGCTTTTTCGCTACCGGTAGGCGAGTAATGAGATCACAAAATATTTTAATATTAAGGCAAGGAATAAGGTAAACTCTACACAAATGGCCCCACTGTTATTATTTTAATGTACCAGGAATAAAATCTACCGTTAAACAGAGATGGCGGTTAGTGTATGCGGTAACATGTATACTAGATAAAACTAAAGAGTTTTTTGTTTTTTTTTCCCCAAAAACCGCTGCGGTTATAAGCATTTTTCCTTTTATATTCCTGATATGTGATGAGTGATTTGTATAAAGTTTGCACACATAGGGAGTATCTAAACAATGTAAAGATTTTATATATTGCTACTTACCAGTCCTTGGATATGGTGGCTGTGTTCGTTTTTTAATTTCTGGCTTTTTTCCTTTTACCTGGTGATCCCGCCAGTAACACACTTCGTGTTTTAGTATGACAACAACTCACTTGCCCTTCTATATCAGGACAACAGAAACAAGGTGGGACTACAGAACCCTGCCCTGCTGTAGTCCATAGAGAACTAAAGCTGGCCATACACTGCTCTATTTTGTTTGTCCAACCCACGGGCTGAACTAAAAAAAAAAAATAGAGTAGATTCCTTCAGTACCGCTACCAGCGCGTTGTTGGTGGAATCTCCTCTGCTTCTTTTGTATTTTCACATCGCTGTTAGAATACCCAAACACAGCCGGCAGCCAAAGAGCTGTTGATAGAAAGATTTTCTGACCGACTCCTTCGATCAGGTGATCGAGAGATGCCGGCCGACAGCAGCACCCACTGTGCAAGTTTCGTCCTTTTCCTCCAGCAGCGGCTGAAGTTCGCACAGTGCATGGCCGCCTTAAGTATTTTAAGTCAGCAGACAACACCCTAAATGATCAGCCCACAAGATTTCTGGCAGGATCAACAGTTTTTTTTTGTCGTTTACCAAACGGATATAACAAAATACTTTTAGTAGTATATTTCAAAACCAAAAGCAGCCAGATAATTTTATTGTTGGGGGTTCACATGCATTTTAACTGAACATTGAAAGACCCTTTTTTGCATAATGCGCAAATTGACCATTTAGTCATCATTCAGGATAATGGGTTTTATTATTTCAAACAAATGTTCTAGGTCGCTTGACTTATTATGTATTTATTTATATATATTTCTTTAGACGCCTTACCAGCACCACCACCACTTTAAACCTTACAAATCAGATATACAACATGTTATAGCATTTCTTCTAGCTGCTTCCTAAAAATCTACAGATTTGTATTGCTGTGCAGCTTGAAGGTGATTGTGGTCCTGTGGGAGCTGATCTAGATTTACCAAGACTTATTCACCTCCTAAATTATTGGATATAGTGTATGTATAGCCAAACCTATGGAAAAACAAATAGGGAAGGGTTAGAATAATGGTTGTCAACTTATGAGGTACAGGAGACCTTTAGTCCTTGACATCACCAAAGGACTGCACATACTGTTCAGTATATGTAATGCTACAGAGGACTGTCAGAGCTTGCAGACATCCAGAGGAAAGAATAGTCAGAGATGGGGCACATGCTAGAGGTGTGATTGAAGACATGATGATGGAAACATGTTACATGAGGCTAATAGAGATCCCTACTATTACCTCTTTACAGATCAGTGTTTCCACTCCTACTATAGACTGGTGGGGTCCAAGGATCGTACAACCATAGACCAAGTATCAGGGGCCTGCAGGTTGGGCACCAAGGGGCTATCACCTCTGTTAGATAATTTTTGCTGTCTGAGTCCCATTGGGGAGATTTCCCATCATTTCCTGTCCTAACGATTCAAAAGGAAGTGATAGATCTCTGTAAAGTCTGGAGAATTTACTTCCTCAGTGGAAGATCATCTCTCCTCTTTCTAGTGACGGCTCTAAAATGTAGGATTTCCCATCACTTTCTATCCATGGTTATTATAATGGAAATAGAAAGAACGAATCTACCTAATGGGGACACATACGGCATTAAAACTTAGCAGGGAAGATTTAAAACCCCTAATCTGTCCAAAATATACAAACATACTTTGGCTATTCATAAAGTTTCCAAAAGTAAAGGAAATATAATGGTAGAAAGGCAGACTGCATTGTTTATCAAAAATGTGCAAATAAAGTCAAAATGCCCTCCCCATACATAATAAACCTGAAGCCAGCAATTGTTGCAGTATTCCCAGGAGACACTAATCCCTCCAGAACTGAGAACATAATACTAAATATCAGCACCTGATGCAAATATAAACCAACAAGCATATCTACCCTATGCTCAAAATTTGAAGATGACGTACTGTATATGTTCAAACTTAAGGTGCCCATACACCTTACAACCATGGCAAGACTTTTGTCTTGCCATGGTTGTAAGCTAATTAAAAGCTCGTACGATCTGCCCATCTTGGACAGGCAGATCGTACTTGCGATCATCGGAAGCCCGCTCCCCTGAGGGGCGGGCTTCCGATGACCGCAATGCTGAACGGGCAGTGTGCGCGTGCACAAACCGGCCCGTTCCGCAGTTGTCGAACGAGCACGCCACTAACCCGCCGACAATAGTACAATTCTCTGCGGGTTTTCTAGCATGCTGGTTCGACAAAAGACGTGCGACCGTACAGTAGAAACGCCGTTGCACGCCTTCCATACACCTTGCGATTATCGTACGATCGCAGGATTTCCCGCGATTATCGTACGATAATCGCAAGGTGTATGGGCAACTTCAGACCCTGAGTGTTTATATTATATTGTTGGCTGCTGATCTTTAGCAGTGAGATGATATTCCGACTTAATTTTAGCTTATGTACAATGTGTTCCTTAAAGCGTTCTTTTTTTTAAAACTGCACATGCAATATATGCAGCAGTTTTTTGACCGCAGTGCAGTACCGCTTGCAAGCGTTTGCATACGCAGCAGTGACAGAGTTCCATTGCTGCTGTACATTTCATGTGTGCTTGAGTTTAAAAGGCTGACCTGTCAACCTCGCCGCTTTCAGTCCCATTTTACAAGGTCAAATACTGCTCCCAGTACATGAATTTCCTGATAATTTACTAGCTGGCAAGAGATAAGATGAGTGGATTAATTTGATCACAAGATAAGGTACAGTGGGAAAAGGTCTCGATCTTTGCTCATCAGGTTATTAAATTGTAAGAATTCACTTTTATGTAGTCCATTGTTGTTCCTTATCAAGCCATCTGCTCAGAAGTATGATTTCAACGGAGACACGATGGATTGGAAATAAAAGCCGACCTGACGCGTTAAAGGACCCGCAAACCTTAAATTGAGCAATGTCTTTTAAAGCGCTGTTAATTTCATTCACAAATACATTAATGATCAGACAATGAAAATTTTGCGTGGAGGTAATGGGATTCCCCGTAATTCCAAAAGGCATATGCTAAATATATTGTATGATCTGTATCTTGGTTCAAGATTGTACACCGGGGCTTATGAAGGTTGTAGTGTACTGTATTTTGGGTAGTATATGTGTTTTGAAGGGACATGCCCCTTTAAAAACAAATAAATAAACTAAGAGGTATATTTATTAAAAAAATAGCTGAGATATTCACCCTGCGAAATTGCACATACATCAGCTCTGTGCGAATGGAGGCAGAACAAATGTTAGCATGTTTTCTTTCCGGGTCGAATGTGAAATCAGGAAAATACCACATTATGGGCACTAGATGAAGCTGAGTAGCAGAGGAAATAAATTGTCACTTCCTATGCTCCTTAACTCCATCTAGTGGCCATAGTACAGTATTTACCTGATATTACATAATTCTACCTGGAAAGAAAATATGCTAATAACATTTTTTTTTTTGCTTCCATTAACACAGAACGAATGTTAATGCAATTTTGCAGGTTGAATGGCTCTGCAAATTGTTTAACCGAATTGCCCAAACCGTTTTTTTGTTATTTTTATATATAATTTTGTGTAGGGTTGCTGGGTTGCTCTTCCAGGTAGAATACATCTTGGCATCATTCAGTCTACTTAAAAGAGAACTATGGGGTAAGTGTTTTTTCCCCATAGTTCTCTTTAGGGTCACGGGAGGACATATACTAACCTCCTACCGTGACCCAAACCTTAGTATGCTTTGCCTGATGAAGGGGATCCTTCCCCGAAACGTTTGTTGCCATTTTCTGCTATGCTGCACGTCAATAAATAGACATTTGCATGCTAATTTGGAGTGCCGGTGTCTCTGTTTCTGTCCAAAGCTTAGTATATCGCGGGCACTGAGAGCGCTGCAGTTGGGACGCATCCCGGTAATGCTGTCGAGATCCGCCCAGCTGCTCTGCCTATCTAGAGGCAGAGCCAGCTGTGCCCGCCCCCTCCCCTGTTTGTTCCCCCACTCAACACTGGAGGATTGCGGACAAGAAAAAGCCATTTTTAATATGATCTGCTTACAATAAATGTGTGTAACCGCAAAAATAAACTCCACAGCAGCCAGTTTATTTTCTCATTGCTGGTGTAAAGTTATTTTTGTTATGTACGGATCACAAACAATAT